AACTTTTAGGGCTTTACACAAACAACTTTATTTAGTGTTAAGTTAGCAGTTAAAGATAAGCCTTTTCAGCAAATGCATCGTCTGATTTTATCAATATTTTTATGTTGCCTTTCCTTTGGTAGAGAGTCCAAAATATATAATATCACCAGTGGCAGATTCTGTATTTCTCAGGAACCAAGTATACATGTGTAATTTTAAAGAAATCATGGTAGTTAATATAGTTCAAATATACTGAGTACATTTATGCATTCACACAGAATTTAAATACAAATTAGAAAGGTCAGTGGCAATGTGGCAATGATGTAACCGTTATTTAAATGGAATTTGTTGATGTCAGTCCGGTTTTCCAACCTTTTTTATGAGATGCGTGGGGATAAAATTATAATATATATTGTTGTAGAAAAGTAAACATTACGTGGACACGCATAAAAAATGATGGTTGCAAGTCAGAATTTTTAGCAGCAAACATATAACTCTAATCAACTAATGGAGGCTCCTTAGAGCCAACAAAAACATTTTCAAAGTAATGTTCCAGCTGAACTGTTTACAGTCCATTTGTGTGTTCCACAAAATAGTGGTGATTCTAAAGGGGCTGAGTTAAATTAAACAATGATGATTGTGCTGATTTCATTTAAAGACTTCCAAAGGTTATGATGAGAAGATATTTACATTCTGTGAAGGCTTCAGGTAGAAGGCAGCATTTAGTTAGATACAACAATGTTCTTATTTAATATAAACATAATGCATCTGGATAGACTCCATAGATGCCTTTGGGTAAAATGCTCTCATTATGATAATCATACCAGACAGCATGTTTTCAATTCAGCATTCCATTGCTTTGTTTTTCCAAAATTTAATGTGTGCGTGGTCTAGTTCCAACTGAAGTGGATCTATTCTTAAGGAAGGAAAAAAAAAAAAAACTGTGCCCATATGTTCCTAATTTATGTACAACCATTAGTTCCTTTTTGCCTTCTCAAGTTACCCCACAGTCAAAATACTCTACATCAGCCATGGTATACTAGATGACTTTGCTAGAAAGCAAGGAAACCAACTACTAACTCTGTAATCTTGGTAGATTTACATGACAAGATCTCTTTTTAGTTCATGCTCTTGTTCATCCTAAGAAGCTGCAGGGGTAGTGGTTGAAGGTTGGGAACTCGAATCATATTTGCTGATCAAAGTCCCAGGCTGAGGGTCCAGGCTAACCTACATGCTCACACGTTATTGGTCAAAGGAAGCTGTGTGGCCACACGGGTAAATGCAATCATACCTGTGCCCAGGTAAGAGACACGATATTTGTATTCATATCTATGTCCACAGCTCATAGTGTGGTACTTAACTGTCCAGAGATGATTTCCTTTACTTAAAGTGCTCTTATCATCACTTCTCAGGATGATTTCTGTACTAACTAGGCTTTCTCCAAAATATATGGAGATTATAACTGTGATCATATATCATTACAATATAATCCAAACGTGAGTGGAAATGAGAGATCTCAGTTCTCAAACCGACATTTTTTTTCTATTCAAATTATACTTTTGGGATATACACAATAGAAAGTAAAATATTTTACTTCATTCTTTATATGAAAATATAAAAAAAAACTAGGAGAAGAATTTTAGATGAAGCTCTGAAAATTAAGAAAACAATTTGCTATGGTTACTAACAATCCTGTTTTATAAAATTCATTCATTCATTTATTCAGTTAGTTAGTTGATTGGTTGATTTAGTTATAGTCTTAGTTTGGTGATACTCTCAAAGAGTTTGTCCTTTACTTTTGGTGTTGCATGACAGAGAGGATAAATTAACCAGATGTGGTGGCAAAGTGTTTTATCCCAATGAAATGTCAAAAGGTGAATTGAGACCATAAACTTAATTGAGGTTAACATACTGCGGTAATAAAAAGCGCCTGATAGATGAAGAAAGCTCCCTGGAAGGTTGTCCATAGTCTTAGGCTCTTTATAGCCTTCTGAAGTGTGTGAATATAAGGGAAGAGAAAACATATTCGAAGTGAGTTAGATTAGCAACATTTATATCAAGGAATTGGGCAGAGGGGTTGTGCTCAATAAGCTACTGGCCTACTTGTATTTTTGCACACAAAAATATTGTAAAGCCATTGAATTGCAATTTATTCATTCATATTATACTTCACTTAGTATAATTTTGGAATCCTTGAAGTCAGAGGTTTTCTTCTATTCATCTATATTACTACCAAGATATCTGGTAGTTATGACAATAAGTAGCAAACCATTAATAAATTTTCTTGTTAAATTAATGTTATAAGCTGATTTCAGAAAATGATGTAAATTTGTTCTAGTTCTTTCATATTACATCCATTCTTTGTCAAATTTAAGAGGAACAAACTCAAGAAAGTTGCAAATATTTCAAGTCAGAATAGATCATGGGTTGGTACTGATTGCAGGTTGATATTATATATTTACAAATTGTTAAAAAAAATAAGAGAGGCTAGAATGGCACTCTCCCAATATGTAGTTACCCACAGCCATCTAGCAAGAAATACTCAGCAGTTTAGAGAGAGTTTGTATGGGTTGTAAAATACCACCATTGTCTTGGTTACTTAAGTCCAATTACTTCACTTAGCAATTCACATTTTAAGTTATGAGAATATACATATGAGTTTATAAATTTGGTAATTTAAACCATTGAAAAAGATATACCACAACTTTAGGTTCAAGCTATGTTACTATCCCTTGATAAAATTATAAAGTTTTTTCAGCAAATAAAAAAGTAAATGTTTGAGGGTAAAGTTTGGAAATTAATGAGCAGCTATTATTTAGATCATGGTTTAATAAACAACTTCTTAGAAGCATTGTATTACTATATACCTTATATTCACAAAATACTAAAATATTTTATTTTAAGTGCTCTCCTTCACAGTTTTGAATATGTATTTACATATGTATATTCTACATATATGTCGAACACACACATGCACAAATACATTCAGGTAAATTTCTTACAAGATGAAAAGACAAAAAATTACTGATACCAATTAGGTTTGGAACAATAACAATGACATTCTTACTCTCTTCTGAGGAAATATGAAGTAATAAATCCAGTATAGTATCTCTATAAGCCCAAGATTTACTGAAAAGAGAGCACTTTGAGTAAATTTTAAAAACAACAAACCAAATTACCTAATCAGTAGTTTTCTTCAGAGTATCTTCCCCAGAATAGCAGTACTGGCATTGCTTGTTGAAAATGCAAACTCTTGACCCCATCCGAGGCCTCATGTATCAGAAACTCTGGGGTGGAGTTTCCAGGTGATTCTGATATGTGCTGACATTTGAGAACCATTGGTAGAATAATACTATTCAAAACTGTTTGGGTCAGCTGATTTGCAGAGGTAATAGCGAGAGTTTCTCAATGAAGGAAACACTAAGTTGACTTATTTTCAGGCCAAGGCCTTACCTAGATTCTTTAGTGAATCTTTCTTATAATTAAATTCCAAAAGACTGGATGGATTGTATGGCTGCCAGATGTGTGTCACTGGGACAAATTATTCATGGCAAGCGACTCTATCAGGGGCATGGTTCTTGGTCCTGGAAGTATTTACTGTTTCTCCTTATTCTGTGTAAATCTATTCTGTGCTTCCCCACATCTAGCCTCTTTTATTTTACCTTCAGAGACTAAGTATCAAATACCACCTCTCCAGAGTTGCCCTCTCAGATCACTTAAAATAAAATAGGGCCATCCTGTCCACAGCCCTATGGCCCATCACAGCAGTCTGTTTGTGGTAGCTCTCAGCCCTTGTCACAATCTGGATGTTTTTAAAATTTAACTTAACATCTTTATTTTATTTATTTTTAAAACTTTCTCTAGAATGTGAACTCCATGCAGAGTCTGGTTCACAGATGTATCTATCATGCACCTTTTTGTGGTACATTCCAGGAATTTTTTGGAGGCAAAAATATAAATAAGTATGGCAAGTATTTATACAATATTTAATCAACCTTTATTTGCTAAGTAGTAACAGTTAAATTACACACGTAGGAGTGTTTAAATCTAGTAGAGGGAAGTCTTCTCTGTGGAAGGTATTTGAGATTTTATCAGACCACTCCTCAGAAAAAAAATCTGTATGGTTGATATCAGGCAATCCAGTTCACTGTAGTTATTTTCTAAAGTATTATTAGGTTGACTTTAACAATATAAATGTATACATTTTTTATATATAAATTTTTTATAATCATACTTGCTACTTCTCTAATTTGACCATATCCACCTTAAAAGTTATTTTGCATCTTGAGTAATTACTAATTAAGTTGAATTGGGGCTTCAAATTATGTTGTAAACAATAATTATTATAAAAAAAATTTTTCTTTGGATCATATTTTTAAAAATTCTTCTACAGTGCCTTAGTATTCTTTAGGTTTGACAAGTTCCCACTCTAAAGTGAATAGAAAATAATCATTAATGATGAAAATAAATTTATTTTTTTCAATTTCCATTGGAAAATGGTAAAGTATTACTTTAGTTTCCCTTTTAAAAAATAATTCTACATTAATATTCTATACATAATGAAATCTTTTGTTTGTTTGTGGTACGCGGGCCTCTCAGTGTTGTGGCCTCTCCCGTTGCGGAGCACAGGCTCCAGACGTGCAGGCTCAGCGGCCACGGCTCACGGGCCCAGCCGCTCCGCGGCATGTGGGATCTTCCCGGACCGGGGCACGAACACGTGTCCCCTGCATCGGCAGGCAGACTCTCAACCACTGCGCCACCAGGGAAGCCCTGAAATCATTTTTATGAGTACATTTTTCCTTTGGAAAAAAAATCAGTGGAGTCTGTTGCTTTAAGTGGTTTATTTTTCCTCTCCATGACTTGGTTTCAGTATATTCACTCCAGCTACATAAATTATAAATATTGCTTCTCCTACTTACTCATAGCACATGAAGTATTATTACAAACAAGAATCATTGTAATGTAGTGACCCCAACGAAACTATCAAGTGAACTTTTCAAATGAAAATATTCAGATAGATTATGTATTTACGAATAAAAATAAATTTGCTTTTCAGGGAGTTTGGCCGCTGGAAAGTAAATAACCTTGCAGTTGAGAGAAGAAATTTCCTTGGCTCCCCTCTGCCTCTTGCCCCTGAATTCTTCCGCAACATAAGACTTTTGGGACGTCGACCTACCCTTCAGCAAATCACAGAAAACCTTATCAAGAAATATGGGACACATTTCTTGCTATCTGCTACTCTGGGAGGTACGACTCTTTGAAAATATTTGTGCCTGTGTGTGCTTGTGCATAAAACTGTATAAGTCAAGGAAAAGTGTCGATTCATCCAAATCACTGCAGTTTGAATAATCCTAAATTTCATTCATTAACTTTTAATCAAAACATTTATTGAGTTATTATTACTAAATATCTTGTATGGTGATCACAATGATGAGGTAGAGGATTTTCACTTAGTTTCTGCCTGAAAGCAATTTACAAACTAATAGCCTCTGTTAAATATAGGCATAGTTATTACACTCTATAATGCAAGGTGAGGAGCCAAATTTTGTTTAAAAATTGAATAATAAGCAATCAAGTCACAGCTAGGACTTCAGGTTACAGAGAGTAGGAAAGGTCCCAAAGTAAATGTTGAAATTCTAAAATTACACTTTTTAGAGCTATTTTAACATTTCTGATTGTAGTTGATATATGATGTGAAGGGAGTAATAAATAAATATCAATGAAGATGCATGATATGAAAGTAGAGATTAATAATGTCACCCTCCTCAATGTGATGTAATACCATTAAATGTGTGTTTTATCATGGTGATGTATAATTCAGTATTTTGAATACACTTAAATGATTTGGGGGGATATAGTGTGTAATAGGAAGAAAATGACATTTTTCTAAAACTTATAAATACCCCAGAATTCTGTATATTTAATTTTGTGTAGGACTTGAAATAATGTCCAAACATTCCGTTTTAAATAGATGTTACTCTTTCCTATAATAGGAGGAGTGGACAAAATTGGATAGGAATCACCATGAAAACAGTGATTCCCTGCTCCCTTGTCAGTTTCTCAGTTAAGTTTACTGAAGCCGGGCAGGCTAGTTCACACCAATGGTGAGGTAATGTGAAAATGCTCTTCATTTTCCCAGTCTTAGAGGATGTGTCTTTCTTTCCGTTTACCTGCCAGTCCAGTCTGTCACCAAGTCACGTCAGTTTATTCCTCTAGAATATATCCCGTATCCAACTCTTTCCTGACTTCCACCGCAGTGTCCCTACACCAAGTCACCACCATGTTTCTCTTAGAATATTCCTAAGGTCCATCCTTCACACAGATCTTTTGAACTTGAGTTGGGTCAAATCATTTTCTGTTTTAATTAAAACCTACAGTTAGCCAGTTGAAATGAAATCCAGATGTCTTTCTGTGGTTTCTTAAGGCACCACATGAATGCTCTGCCCATTGGCTTTCATCTCAAACCTCATCTGTTCTCTCTCCTGATCATGCTCTATGTTTCAGCCACAAGGAAACTTCATATTTTTCTGCTCAAATGTTACTTTCTCAGAGAGACCTTTTCTAACCCTACCAGCGACAGTGCCCATAGACAACCAATATTCTCTGCTACTTCATGATCTCACTCTGCATTCTTCATAGTATTTATTATTATGTGGAAATTTTTTATTTTCTTGAAAACAGGAATCTTGCCTGTATTTGTTACCAATTTACTCACATAGTTATTATGGATGGAAAATGTCACCTGCCGTATCAGTAAACAAAGCATGTTGTGGCCATCGGGCCAACAGCCACTGCAGCTGCCTCCGACTGTGCACCCTGAGGGGACTCAGGATGGAGAAAAGCAGGATAGTGGCCCTAGATAGTTAAGGTGCATATCAGAGAAATGATTTCAGTGAGCCCAGACTCTTGCATCTTCCCATAAATAGAAAAGCACTAAATTCATTAACTTGAGATGTCCGTTTTTCTTTAGTTAACAGCAATCTTTTGATGTTCCACTACCTGCTTTTATTGCAAAACTCCTATATATCCTGGCTCATCCCTTACTTCTTTGGAGCCATCCCTCAGAGCTCTCTGAGATGCTGTGTTCCGGGCTGAAGTCTTCCATTTTGTCCACCAAATAAAACTTAATTCTCAACTTTTAGGTTGTGAATTTTTTTCAGTCGACATTATAGTAGTGCTTGGCACACAGTAGGTTCTCATTACATACTTGTTAAATGAAACTAAGTGAAACTATACTTTGCTAGGAGGCTGAGGCTGCCCAGTCCACTAGATAAACATCAAAACTCTGAAATGGACAGAGGATAATTGAGATCTAATTCAGGAAGAAGACTGAATGAGAAAGAAAATCCATGGATCCAAAAAAGGTCAGTTAAACAAATAGATTCAGAATTGGAATCAGGATGAAAGGGAGAGCAGGAGAGCCAGACATGGAGAGGGTGGAGAAAGAGAGATCCCTGGATAAGCCAAAGAAACAAGTCTGCCATGTAACCCTAAGGAATTAAAGGCAGAAGATGGAGGGGGTTCAGGAGGACAGGAAAGGTTAGCTGTGAATATGCACTCTCTCTCCATTGCTTTCCTCCATAAATGAATAATACTAAAATAATGAGATAAAGGGATCAGACAAGCCTGGTGTTGAATTCTGGCTCCTTTTTTTTTAAGCCAATTGTGAGACTTTAAAAACTGTTAAGTAACTTCACTGATTTTTAGGGTTTTTTTTTTAGTTGAAAGGGGGAGAGTAACACCTGTGTGACAAGGCCATGGGAAGATTAGTGTAAGTGTAGGAAAATGTCCTTGGCATAAACATGCCATGAATTAATGTTATTGCTGTTGTTACTACAGCAGTATGGATAGCAAAACAATGACAAAATATTCCCATAATTGTGAAAACTGATTCTTTGAAAGCAGTGTCTTTTGGCTTAGTATTGACAATGATTATTAATGTAATAAAATCTGAAGTAAAAGTGAAAATTAAATTATTTCTATAACATCTCCTTTTAAAAAGTTCAGTGGTCTTGAAACACATCCTAGGTTTCATTACCATTGTATCAACAATACAGAGTTCCCAGAAGAATTTCAGAACATGAAATGTATTCTTCAAACAAGAAAGGAAGGAAGGGACAAGGGGGAAGGCAGAAGACATCAAAAGTACAGATGATTCTCAAGGACATTTTTGTTCCTTAGTAGCAAAATTGCGGTGACATTTTTATTTATTTCATTGTTTTTGCATTATGAATGCCACACTGTTGTCTTAAAATAGTTTTTGTTTTGCATGTTTTTTGTTTGTTTTTATAAAAGGGGTTTATAAAAACCTTTGTGGTAAATCACTTCTTTGGGTTGATTAATAATGACAATATGCTTTCTCAAAATTGCTTTACTTCAATTATTTAAAAGTCTAGTTCAAGCAATTTCTTCAATGGTGGGGAGGGGGAAAGAATAGAGTTGCCACTCTCACTTTCCTTCTAATCTCTGACCATTCTTTGGATTTAGTGTTCCTGGTATTTTCTATTGGAATTCTCTTTTTGTCTTTAAATGTTACTTGTATTTTCCTTCAGGAATCTCTCTGTTGGGTGATGTTAATAATTTAGCTAAAATGCATGAAATTAATTAAGTAGCTTAAGGATATAAACTGTTTGCAATTAAAATATATACTAGGTTGATTTCAGGCAATTTTTAAATTATTGTTGTTGTAATTACACTAAGTCTTTATTGTTGCTCTAAGTGTATTTTAATTTCATGTGTTTTACCTGACTGAACATGAAATTGTATTACTCTGTTTCTTAAAAAATTGAGATTGGTGGTATTTAACTTGAGCAAATTCTCTTTCTCTCTCCTTAATTGACCCAGATTGAGGAACAACTCTAATATTAACACACTGAGGATGTCATGTATGGAAGCAAATATTTTTAACAAAAAGCCAGTTTTAAAAAAATTATTTTCTTATTTTTTATTTTTAATTGAAATATAGTTGATTTACAATGTTGTGTTAATTTCTGCTGTACAGTAAAGTGATTCAGTTATACACATATATATATATATATATACATTTTTATAGTCTTTTCCATTACGGTTTATCACAGAATATTGAATATAGTTCCCTGTGCTATGCAGTAGGACCTTGCTGTTTATCCAGTCTATACATACTACTTTGCATCTGAAAAAGCCAGTTATTTTATAAGTAGATGCCTTCTAAGTAACTAGATCTTCAACTAAATTTAAACATTTTTCAAAACAAGTTGAGTGCAAAATACTCTCTACCAGCATTAAAGCAGTGAAAAGGAAATAAATGAAAAATGTCTTTTTTCCCCAAGAGTTATTTAGTACATCATATTATTGACTTAGACATAAAACTTGGGATAGCATATTTGAAGCCTTTAATGGGATATTTTATGATAGATAAAGCCAGTGATTGAATTATCTTCCTATAGGGAAAAATAATTTATAAAAAACCTTCTTCAATATATATCATTTTCCCTATTTGTTTCATCTTATAGCTTCCAGACTATTTATCAATATAGTAATTTAGCTTGCTTCTATTTGGGATAATGATATCTAAACTCCATCACTGTTTAAAATCTAAAATAAGCTACTCAATTTAAAGAATCAATCTTGAAATAGATTGCACTCCTGGGATATATTGATTTCTAGCTATGGAATATATTTCATGACTGTTTTTGTAATATATTTCATTATAATACAATATATGACAAACACTGAAATAAAAGTGTATCTTTTATTTCAGTGAATATAGAAATACAAAAAAATAATAAGTGAATGAAAACAAAAAGACCTTAAAATTGTTGGGCTTACTGAGCAGACAGAGGGTGTTTGCTAAAAGTACCAGATCAGGATTTTAGATCCATAGTAAAGGACAAAGGACTAAGGAAGATGAAAACCAAAAATTCATTTAAAAATTTATAAAAATGTTATAGCAAAATATTTACAGTAATTTTAAATGTGACCTCATCTTCACCTCCAGAATTACAGAGACTTGTCTAATTAGTCCATAGGCCAAGCCCTCAGCCACTCACAGTCACATGAGAATGTGAACACCTCCTGGGTGAGACTTGGCTCTCTAAAGCTTAAGGCAGTGAGAAGCTGACGGAAACAGGTGCTCTGCTCTCCGGACAGCACATCCTAAAGAGGAAGAAGAGCAAGAGGCTGGGTTTCTCATGCCAGTCCCTTCCCTACCCCCCGCCTGTCTGTCGGCTCACTACACCTCTGTGGGTGGAGTCAGGAATGTGGACACA